AAAAAAAAGGGGGGGGGGGGGGGGGGGACTCCAAATATGACCTAACAAGCACAGAACAAAGTAGAACTATTTCCCTTCATGAGAATACTATGCTCATATCAATGAAAATTAAAGCTGGATTAGCTTTTTAAAAAAATTGTAGCTGCGTAATCAAACTGGCTCACATTCCACTTGAAGACCACTAAAATGCTTTAGATCTGTTTTGCATTCCCTGCTATTAAGTCAAGCCTTTACAGTCTCATATAGATATCAGATTTCTTTGTATCTTAATGCCAGCCTTTATATCAATTAACGTTTATCTTGTTAGTTTCAGGCCAACTGTTCAGCCTGTTAAGATCCTTTGGATTCTTACTTCAGTCTTCTATGGTGTTTACTATCCCACTTAGCGTTGTATCATCAATCTCCCTACATTCTCATGTAGGTAATTCATAATAATTTTGGTCAGTTCTTGATCCAGATTGACTGAAGGCCATTAGTGAGCACTTACTTGCTGAGAGCTATTGCTCAACCTTCTGCAGATCCATCCAATGGTAGTATCATCTAACTCACACTTGGATATGTTTAAGTCTTTCTCTCTTTTTTTTTGTAAGAGTCACTAATTTGGTAGAAGAGACAGAAAGCTGGTCTGATATGACTTTTTCCTGACAAACCCATTTTCATTCAGGGCATTCTATTCCAGATACTCCCCACTATTTAATAATCTGTTCTAGAATTTTGCCCAGCCTATTTTTAATCTTCTGATATCTCATGCATAGTTCTTGATTTCTTAAACACTGCAAGAGTAGCTCTAAATTAATTTCCTCCAGCCTTTGGGTATAATCTGAATTTCAAGAGACTTTTATTCAATTAAAATAGATGGATGTTTTCTAGCCATTTACTTCTCTGCCCTGAGTGGCAAGTCCACATGTGTGTGTGTGTGTGTGTGGGCGTGGGTGTTCTAGTCACCCCAGGTTGACCACAACTCTTTTGAGTAATCCCACTGTTTTTTGTTTACCCTTCCCTATACAACAGACCTATCCTCTTCTTAATCATCTTCTTGCCTGGAGCATGACCAAAGAAAGCCATTTTTAGCATTCCTGACAAGCCTCACCTAAGCTGGGCCTTATTTTTCCTACCATTACCATTATTGTTTTGAATAATTCACTGTCTTCCTCCTTGGTAATATTCCCATCTGTTTTAAAAGTCTTTTTATTAGTGAGCTCTTGGTGGAGAAACACCAGCTTTCCACTGGTACTAATTCATGATTCTACTACAAGTATTTGAGTCCTTAAAGTATTATTTTTCTTTCTACATAATTTGGAATCATGGGTTCTTTTCTGGCTTTTTTCTGCACTTCTAACAATCTTTCCAAAATGTCCAAGGAATATATCCACATTAATATTACAGATTCCCAAATGGCATGGGCATTCCCTCTTCCCCTACATATTGTTTACAGCTTCACTTTATTAATCATTTCTTCCTACTTGGTGAAGATTAAGTTTGGGACAGCAGATCCCCTTGTTCTTTTCTCCAGCTGGGAGCTGAAGCTGTCAGCAAGGTGAGTCCAAAACTTATTGGATATTTAAATCCTAACGGAGTTCCTTCCAACAGTGTCAGGATAGTTTGAAGCCCCACATTACTATTTGATTCTGTAAAAGTATTGTCTTCTGTTGCACAAAAAATGTTATTCTTATTATTTAGCGCATCACTGTCAAAGTTTAGACGCTGCAGGGTTACACACATACAGTGCCAAAATTAAAGCAATTTCCCAATGACTTTTTCTTTAATTTGAAGCAAATGCAGCAAGTTGCTAATTTAATAATTTGACTACAAGGGAAGGAGTCAATCCTGCAACAACAGCCAGTTCCATATTAATTCTTTTATCTGGCATCGTTGTCCCTCATTCACTGCACAGACCTGAAACATTAACATGATCAGCCTATGGCTCACTAGAGTTTCTTGTACTGTATTCTCACCTTTCTCTGATCTGATTGATGATATCTTTTCTGGTTTTGACCTAAATTCAGTTGCTGTATCTGGTGTAACCTGGTCTATACTTTCTCCCTACAGAGCACAGGCTTCACATTTGGACAAGGGGAGCATAGTTCTGAAAGGGGGAAGAAGCAGGCATGGGCTTGATTTCATAGCACTGAGTTGCAACAATTGTTCGGCCATTTTAGTGTCAAAACAGTATGTCTCCAAGGACAGGATGGAAGGGGATAGAAATCCTTCCAGCACCTTTGAAGCTGCAGAAAAGTAGGATTGCTTGACAACTGACTCTCTTGTTCCTTTCTCCAGACTTCCTCCAGGAAGAACAGCAGGAAAGGAAGAGAAAGGAGATGGTGATCAGAGCTCCAATTTTTTTATTCTGTGCTGCCAAGAAAAACAAAGGTAGAGTTATTTCCCTGGTAAATA